CTTTGATGGCAGATACAGCTACAATATCCATCTCTAAATATTCTCAACACTGGCCGGGCACAATGGCTCACGCCTGTAATCACAGCACTTTGGGAGGCCGAGGCAGGCAGATCACTTGAGGTCAGGAGTTCGAGACCAGCCTGGCCAAGGTGGTGAAACCCCATCTCCACTAAAAGTACAAAAACTAGCTGGGCATGGTGGTATGCACCTGTAATCCCAGCTGCTTGCGAGGCTCAGGCAGGAGAATCACCTGAACCTGGGAGGCAGAGGTTCCAGTGAGCCGAGATCCCGCCACTGCACACCAGCCTGGGCAATAGAGTGAGATTCCATCTCAAAAAACAAAATAAAAATAAAAATAAAAAAATTCTGAACACTGCCAAAAAGTAATGCCTTGAAGATGTCCACACATGTCCTAATGTCAACTGTTGCAAATGAAGAGTCTACCTTAACTATACATAACTAAAACTTCCCAACTAAAATTAATTCACCCCTAAATTATGTTATTCTTCTATTAATAATTGCCAATACTTAATTTAATCCAGTGCAAATTATTTTAGAAGAATGAAATTGCTAATACTTCCTCTGCAACCAATGAAAAAAATTCAAAAAACTAGGGGAAAAGTGAAGAGTCAAGTACAATATACTAATTTCACCTTTCTTGACAAATGAAAGTATTTTACATTAGTGAATACATATATTCAATATGTACAAAGAGAATCATCAAACACAGACCAATATACTTTTAACCACCTACGGAACAATGTATATGTGGCGGTAATACACCCTATAAAAGACTTACAGTTATCAGTTTGCTCAGCAAATCCTTACCAATCTAAGGTCAGTCTAACCTCAACATTATTCTTTCTGATAGCAACTGCATTAATTTCAAAGCTACTAGATAGAAAGCAATTGTAAAACAGAACTGACTACCCCAATCTCACAAATTTCCTAAGTCACTATCTTCAAAACAAATCCTAACTTCTTTTCTTAATGAATTTGGGCAACGAGATGAATTCTTCAGTGCTGACTTTGAAAATCAAGTTTAACAGAAAAAATGAAGAAAAAAGTAACAAGAGTAAGAACTAATGGATTCTATGTAATAAAACTTCAGAAATGTTTGTTTAACCCAATGGTTTCTACAGAAAAAAAAAAAATACATTTCTTAAGCTATGTTAATATCACATTTTCTGGAAGCTAAATCCTTGTAGTAGAGCAGAGGCCTCACATTTCAATTAAGCAGAAAATTGTCATATGCATGCAACACTTTTACAATTCTCTTTACAAACTCTGAAGTCACACACAATATCAATAATAAAACTGATTTCCTAAGCTTTTGTCTTACCAAAAAGATTGAGATGAAAATTTAAAAATAAACGTTTACTTCAAGTGAATTAATGTTAAAACTTTGTGAACTGAATTTCCCATAACAAATACTCCTCCATTAAAAGTCACTTAAGTGATTACTTCAGAAGTAGCTTAAAATATTTTTTTAAGTGTTGCGCTATCACCAAATGAACAAACAGCAAATGGAGGCAAATTTCAAAATAACACTAGAAAATAAGAACTGAAGACTTCTTCACTTCCAAAAAGTAAGCCATTTCGTAACACTTAGTTTATATATTTTATGTGGTTATGAGAAAGCAGATACACTGTTTCATACAAAAATTAAAATATCACCAGTTGCTTTCCCCATGTTATTAAAAATAAAATTCTAAAAAGGTACTAAAGGAACTTTACTATCTTCTAAAATTAAGTTTAAAATGAAGGTGGTTATACCTCACCATATTTTATTATCTTTAATCATTTAGTATTTACTTAGTATATTATAACCAATGTAAATCTGCATTGATGACTATACTGCTGTGCAAACTTTTACACTGGCAGCAATAAAATTCCTTTTTCCTCACATAAACTGTACATTACTCCTTTCAGTTGTGCTTTACTCTTGAATAAGCACTATGAAAAATGAAGTTTGTAAGTTATCATATAGCAATTAGGTGGTCCAGTCACGTTTTTCAGGAAATATAACTTAGCAGATACAAAACAATGTAAAATAAATATTGTGAATAGAATATTTTTTAAAACCCTCATGATCAATTTCAGTAATCACTTACCTTGAGGTAATTTAGGTAACTTCAATAGTCACTGTACTCTCTAGAAGTTAAAAGTATTCCCTGTGAAGATTTATTTGAAAAGAGGCAAATCTACCAAACAATAAAAATACAACAGAAGCCTAAAGTTTCCACATACCCCAAATACACTATTTTTCTATAGTCTCAAATTCAGCACTATTTTCAGACTAATATTAAGTATATAACCCTACTAACAAATGTTTAGAATAATTTAATTTTGCGATATTTTAAAACTGAATTATTGTCCTCAGTTTTCGTCAGAGAAATGGCTTCATTATTAATCTTTCTTTACCAGATAAAAATACTCCAATCACTACTTTCATAAAGGAATTTAACTTTTCACAGGTTAGCTGCCGAAATAAATACTACAGCATGCCAAAGACAAAGTCCTCAATGACCATTTTAATGCCTTCCCACCCCCATAAACAGAAAAGCAAGCAAACCAAGTACGTTGGAATATCAAAATTATTGGGAGTGCAATTATCAAAAAAGCAAGCACTTCATTGACTTTCCTCACTGACTTTTTTTCATACCAACTTTTGGCTCAATAAAACCACAACTCTAGAAATCAAGTGTTATTAGTCATTTGACACAATATTTGATACTGCTTTCTATGCATAACTAAAAGTACAATTTTAGAGAAAGTTTTAAGTCACATAAATTTCATGTGTAGAGACCCACATACTCTGAAATCAAAGGAAATGCCAGTCACATCACAGCTCACATGTAAAAACCTGGTAGAATAATTTTAAGGCCTTAATAACCCTGACAATTTTAAATACAGTGGGAAAAGTAAAAGTAGTGTGTATGTACTTTAAGTGCTGAAAGAAATCTGTCTCCCAGACAGCATTCAATTATTTTCTTCAGAGGCTTTTTTTTCAAAGTTACATAAACATTTAATTTTTTGTTCCTATATATTTGGATGACTGTCAGTAATTCATGCTAATAGTAGACTGCTTTGGAAGTCACAAAAGAATTTTTTCCATAATTATCTTCTGGGCAAGCGGGTTTAGCCTTAGTAACATTTTTATCTTCCAGTTTAGCCTTAGTAACATTTTCAATTAATGCCAACTTCAAAATTTGCAAATACTGTTTTAAAATAATATTACTGACTTAACAGAAAACTAAATTTTGGGAAGCTACTTCCTCAGTAAGTTTTATATTCATTTCAAAACAAAAACTTGGGCAAAATTAACTGTGCACATGTATATGCAGCTAACATAATCCAAGGGAATAAAACCTCTCCCGACATAAACGTTGTCTTAAAAAAAAATCTTCCCCACAATTTTTAGCAGGACATACAGACACTGCAGTGTCACGCTACGTTTAGACAAAATGCAACTGATACTTGCTAAGAAATAATTTTTATTAAAAATACTCTGCTAGTACTTATGCAATTACATAATTTTAACTAAATATTGTCCACTGCCACAATTCGCATTACCAAACTCATATTACCAAATTTTAGACCTTGATAGAGCCTAAATGCTTCAGTCACTTCAGACCAATAACTTCTGTTTTCACATACCTTATACACTGGCCTACCAATAGCTCTCAATTCCTGTCAATACTTTCCATTCTGCAAAATGAGGGCCCCATCCCCATCCCTAATCAAAACCAGTCTGTTGTACCTGAAACTGCAAAGATTCATGCTTTTCGATGACCACTAACTTTTGAAGCCCGAAGGCCTAACTTTTAGACAACTAAAGCTATACACTGTTAAAATTCTTGGACTTCTGTCTTATTCAACAAGCTGACTCAGTAAATTTAATACACTGTATGAAAAAAGCTAACATACCTACAATCTAAAGCTGGAGTAAACTTCTCTTGCCAGCATTTCTGGATATTAGCTGGTAAAATTCACTTGACATTCTACACAAATCAGTGAAATTAACAATACCAAAAGATGTCAGAGAACCTGAAATCTAAAAACGGTGAGCAGCAATTCTGGCATCACAATACTTAAATTTCAAGCATGAACTGAAGTTTTATCTTTGCAATCTTCACTTGCCACACACAATACCCTTGAACCTACACATTGTCATCTGGGATCAAAAACTACTCAATATCCATTCCATGTTTATGACAAGAGCACTGAACATTAAACGCTACTGAAGTGCAAATTTCAAGCCCTATCCTACATCATCCCATAGGGAGAGAAAAAGGTAAATATAACAAAGATCTAGTAAGAACGCCTTATAAGGTATATTATGGCACTATTGATTTCAAACTACAAAACTTCTAAATACAGTCCAAAGTTGTAACTTAAGTGTAAAACATTAACAAAACTACTTTTTGCACTCAATGTGCACCATATATACTGAAAATTATTCTGCTTCTAAAGTTATGCAAATCAGTCATATTTTAAAAGAATCTATCAATGCAACCCAGGAAACTAAAACAATCACTGCAAGATTCTGATGCAATATGCATACGTGCAACACTAATTTTCATTTTATTCTGATCTAAACCCTTGATCTAGGGCCTAAGCCAAGATTTAATCGAAATATGCTCAACCTCAAAGCGTCTACTTTTTTGCTCATTTAGGAGACCGGATTACCGAGCTCTCTAATCCACTAACAGCATACTGTATTCTGTATTAACGGACAATAGCCCTCAGGAAGAGACCGTATAGACAGCCTAAGCAAGCAATCGGTGCCTCGACACTTGCAACCAGGCAAGAGTTCCGTCTAGCCGAACACACCCTAGGTTGAATACAAGAAAAGAAACACAAAATATATGACCTAGCAACCCGACCAGGGTTAAATGTTATAGTCGCCCAAACTAGGGACATTTTCGCATCCGTCTACTCCCACGTTCTAAGAGAGTGACAGAAAGGCAAAGAGGAGCAGCCGCAGAAATGGATACAGGTCAAGTCTAAGTCGAATCCATCCTCTTGATATCTCCTTTTGTTTCTGCTAACGATCTCTTTGATGATGGCTGTCATGTCTGGGAGCCTGTGGCTGAAGAAAAAGGAGGAGAGAGATGGCAGAAGCTGCTGGTGGCGGGGCTTCTTCTGCAGGATGGAAATGGCTCTGGACTTGGCGGTAGCTGATGCCCCTCGCTCTGCCGCCGCTTGGCTCTGGACCGCAGCCGGGTAATGGCTGCTGCGGCGGCTGCTGGATGGTTGCAGCGACTGGGCCTGCTTCTCCTCAGCAGCCAGAGGCCTGGCAGCAGCGGCAGCGGAATGGGGAGAAGACGAATAATCCTCGGAACGGCTGCCTCCTCCGGCGGCCTCCGGAGCCCGGGCCACGGGGGGTGCGGCGGCGGCGGAGGGGAGGTTTAAAACCGGCCCGGGTCCCTGGATGTGCCGCCGCCGCCGCCGCCGTGTTGGAGGCAGTAGAAGGGGAGAGACCAACTCTCCGGCGTTCCCAGCCCTGGAAATGGTGACAGGCGACTCAGACCCCCTCCCTGGAGCTGCAGCCGCCGCGGCCGCCGCCGCCGCCGCTTCTCCCCCCCGCTCCAGGAGCGGGAGGTGCCGCCGCCGCCGCCGCGCCTCAGCCGGCTCCCGCCCGAGCCCACGGCTTCCACCTTCCCCTTCAGGAGAAGCCGAGGAAGCGGCTGCACGGTTAGAAAAGACGAAGAGGAGGCGAGAAACGCCGCCGCTGCCGCCGCCGCAGGCCGGCCGGCTCCCCGAGGGCGCTGCCCCCGCGGCTGCTCACAGGCGCTGAGAGGGGCTCCGGGCCGCGGCCGCCGCCGTCTCTCATCTCCCTCGCCTGAGCCCGGCCTCGCCTCACAGCGGCTCAACTCTCAAACTTCCATCATGGCTGCAGCTTCCGAGAGGAGAGAACTGAGCGCAGCCGCGTCCCAGCGCCCGAGCGCGTATCCTGCCGCAGTGCATAAAGAGTCCCGCCACATCACCGCCCGCCGGCCTGCCCGCCCCCTCCGCCGCCGCGCCGGGAGCCCGGGCTCCTCGGGAGACCGAGGGGAGGCGGGAGCCGAACGAGAGGCGGACTGGACCGTGCCGGGCGAGGGGAGGGCAGGGCAGGGGGCGGTAGGCGGGGGCAGGAGCGGTAGCTCCGGGTGCGAGCGCAAAGCCCCCAAGCCGTAGGCTCTACTGAGCATGCCCAGTGTGGCTGCCTAGAGCTCGCTCGGGCCGGTTCCGAGCCGCCAGCCTGCAACTGCACTTGCCGCGGCTGCTTTTGCAGCAGCGCGAGGCGAGGATAACGAGCTAAGCCTCGGCCTCTGCCCAGAAACCCAGCCGGAGGCAGGATAGGCTGTTGCGGGGCGGGGGTGGAGGACTGATGATGAAAGCTGAGATGGGTGCGTTGAGCAGTGTCACTGACTCGAGTCTCAGGTTACCTGTGCACAGGTGGAAAGGACCAGGTGACCACGCTGGTCAGTATACAGGGAAATGCAGGGGCGGTCCTTGCAAGGGGAATACCCTCCCCCCTGCCTCTGCCCCTGGATTTCCGCGGCGTGGACTGCATTCGCTCTTTTGCATCGCTGTCGATCACAATCGTTCGCAGAGATTTGACTGTAGCAGCCTTTGCCTAGAGATTCCTCCTTTCCCCAACCCTGTGTCCTCAGGATGTCAGTCTTAGCACAAAGAGCAACCTGCTATTGTGTTTCCAGCGTGCATCACCTCATCCGGCTCCCTTGTAGCGCCCCACCTCTCGCTTCCCCGGTAACTCGGCTTGTTTGCCCTAAAAATGAAAGCTCTCAGCCGAGCGTGCTGAACGTGAACACATCGCCGTTGAATTTCCAGAGCCCAAAGGGCACCTATCTAAATGAACTGAAAGAGGATCCCCGTGAGTAGGACGCACCCCGCAGCCCTCTCCTGCGCCCGCTCCGGTGCCCCTAGGAGACTAGAGCATCTCTCCCCCTGGGGCTCCAAGTCGGTTCGCCGCGTCGGACTCAAGCTCGGTTCTTAGAGACCACCTAGCCCCGCCCCCCCTTGGCCTCCGTGAAAACCCGGCGGGATGGATCGCCCGGGGCCAGGCTCCACGCGCCCCGGCCAGACCATGCACGTTCGGGGTTACCAGGTTGAGTGGAAAGTACGGAACGGTAGGAAGCTGCAGCCCAGCGAGTGGGCGGGGCAAGGAGACCTAGGAGGGTTCAAAAGGGGGGTGGAAGGATACACGGGCCACAGTCGGAACTACTTTCCGAAGGAGGTCACGTGTGTTCCTAGTTGGGGAACTTTCCAAATTCCCACTCCCCGGTGATAGCTCCGGAGGCAAGTACTCTTCTTCTTTTGCTCGGGGTGTTCTCGCCTGGTGCAGGCTGCAGAACCCCAGCCCTTCCCGCGCCGCGGCGGAAACAGGGACTCGGACCAGCCTCCCGAAGGAGCGCTGTCGGGGCTGGCGCTTGGGGAGCTGGTTACACAAGCACCCACATCCAAACACGTGCCCCCGCCTCCCCGCCTGCTGGCTGCCGCCGATTCTTACAGAACGCGGGGAGAGAGTCCCCAAGCTGGTCCCATTCCTCGCCTGCTACCCTAAGAGCAAGCCAAGGACGGAGACCTGAGACTCCTTGCTCTAGATCGACCTATACTGCGCCTTCCCAAACGTGGGAAAAGGATCTGGGCGCTAGGGGTCTCGGGCCTCTCCCTCGCTGATGCCCTGCCCCTTAGGGTGAACCCTTTTAGTTCTGTGCTTGCGGGTATCTCCTGCTGCAGCCCAGAGCTTGCATTCTCTGATGTTGCAACAAACGTCCAGTCACTACCCCTGAGCTGGTGAGCGCGCCCCACCTACTGTAGACTCAGCCAAGTGACTTATCTGGTCTGAGAACCTCGTCAATGGCCGTCAGCCCAGAACAAACCTGTCAAGTCCGCTTACAACCCCGACTGGGCAGACCTGTCGCCGTGAGAGAGCTAATTCAGAAATGCAGAGAGTTGGATCGCGCTCCTTCTACCCCGCACCGCACCCGTCAAGGATCTACAAAGCAAATAGTCGACCCGCTTAAAGAGAATGAGCATCAACACCAGTCTGGGAATTTATTGTTTTTTCATTTCCCTTAGGAAGTAGAACTCCAGACCACAATTTGAGTGAAAAAATATCTAACGAGACCTAGGTTGAAGCACTGAGTTGTTTTTCAAACTTTGAGAGAATGAGAATCAATCTGCATGTGTGTTCAATAATTGTAAGTGCCTAGGAAAGTCTAAAGAGGATTTATGCCGTATTTGAGAAAGAGGACTGTATATGTGCACATCATAGTTGCAGGCAACCTGTGAAGACTGGAAACCCCAAGAGACCTAGCGCAGAAAGCCACAGGCCATTACCTAACTCCGGGACTACTAATTAAACCTGGGATATTTACAGTGTTCTTAGAGATCTCTGAGGCGCCGTAAAACTTTTGCACTTATATACAGCATTTAAGATAGCTCTACAGGAGTTAACAACCTGCTGAAGCTTCAGTGTTGATATTTATTGAAGGCTGGTTTTGTGCATAGTTCTGGTCAGCTTGGGAAAGGCAAGGACCACAGTGGAAAAGGAAATGGAAAGCAACCGGAAAAGAATAAAAGGCAGGCCTCCAGTTGGTTTCCAGAGATGCAGACACTGTCCACATAGCCTAGGGTGAACTACAGATTTCATTATTTTATAAATAACCAAGGATAAGGAGCTCCTGATGCCTAGGTGTTCTACTAGATTGCATGGTAAAAACCAGAGCTGTGTTTAATTATCAATTACTGCGTGGTAGAAAAAGGGGGAATGAAGATGAACCTTTAAAAGGGGAGTAGATTAGAGAGGGGTAAAATGTCTCACATTTGTTTCTCAGGTTGCTGATCTTGTCCCCGGAGTCACTGTTATTAGCACTGCCCTACTCTGCTCCTCCCCTGGAGCCTACCGTAAGTGACAATTAGTCTCGTATCTGAGAACCTCTGAACTCCGCTTTCAGGGAAGAAAATGAAACAAGGGTGCATTCCTGTCCCTGGTGCGACAGGATCCTCTTGGATTCCATGGCACAGAGTTACTCTGGAGCAGAGAGGATCTGCATCACCAGCACTAAAGTGCTGGAATATGAGACCAGCCTCCAAGTACTTCCATCTGGCTGAAGAAGGAAAATGGGAAATGGGTTTTGCTGCTTCTCTAAACATCAGGTCCCTCTACTTCTCTCTAGTGGTGAATGAAAGGATCATCAATGTTGGCAGATATTTGGCCAGCCCGACAGCAACATCAGGTGGTTATTAGGAGTTGCTGAATAAAATCCTCCTTCTGTTCCTAGTGTTGTTTCTGAAAGAAATACTACTGATGCATCCTTTTCCAATTTTTTGTTTTTCTGTACCTTTCTACCCAAATGGCTGGCCCTATCTAAAGTAAACAAAGTTTCAAAAATAGTACTTTTTTAAAGTTCAATTGAAAATACCTGCTTGGCTGTACAGATATTACAATACACTGGTCTCCAAGCACTTCTTCTTTTTTTTTTTTTGAGACGGAGTCTTGTAGGCTGGAGTGCAGTGGCATGATCTCAGCTCACTGCAACCTCCACCTCCCGGGTTCAAGCAATTCCCCTGCCTCAGCCTCCCGAGTAGCTGAGACTACAGGCACACACCACCACGCCCGGCTAATTTTTTGTACTTTAGTAGAGGCAGGGTTTCACCATGTCGGTCAGGATGGTTTCGATCTCCTGACCTCATAATCCGCCCGCCTCAGCCTCCCAAAGTGCTGGGATTACAGGCGTGAGCCACTGTGCCCGGCCGCACTTAGTTCTTTACCTGTCTGCGGAACCAGAATACCATAGGGAGAAGTAGAAGTTTATAATAAAGGGAGAATTATATAAAGCTTCAGGGTGACTGTAGTTGATTAGTGAGCATGATAAACCAGCTTTAACTATCGTTTCTAACAGCTGATTCCAAAACTCTATTGTTACTACATTAAAATGATGTCCAAAGAAAATTTCTTTCTTATTTTCTTTGATAAGCGAAATGACCAGCAACTTGATGTGGATGATATAAATACTTGATGTGCTCTTTGTAGGTCCTCTGCTAAGATGTCTTTTGTGTAAACACTCTGATCGCTATAGTGCCTTTCTCATCTCCCATACACTGGCCTTTCAAAAAGGGATCTAACTCAGTAGCTTTAATTTTTAAACAATCTTCTCTATCTCTGTCTGTTTAACTACTGTTTTCTAAATAATACAGAACATAAAAATATAATCATTGGATTGAATTTAAATCCATTCTTCCAAGAGTCTGAGGTTTTCCCCTTATTTCATTTATCCTAATAACAAACATTATTGTTCTTTCATTACAGATAATTTTAAGACATTCTCCAAAAGGCACTACTGTGGGTCATACAAGTAACTATATTCTAAAAGAGAATTTTCCATTATTGTCTACAAGCTTCCCATGTCCCAAATCTCTCCTGAAGCTATTTCAGATGCCACGGTGTCATCTTTCACATCTTGATAGAGAGATGTGCTGTATGAAATCATCATTCTCAGAGAAATAAGGGTTGAGTTGGTTGCTCCTGAAAACCACAGAGCAGACCAGGTACTCACTGTGTCCAAGTGGCATGCCGAAATTTTGTCTTGGACCATGGAGCAACACAAATAAAAAAGACCTAACATGACAAGACAGCTTTGACTATGTTAGTCTCCAAGCTAACACTGGCTACCAGTTATTCCCCTTAATACTAACTCTAGCCATATGGAACACATTTTTTAGTTTTTTTTTTTTAAGACCTCCCAATAATAGAAAGAGGTAATTCCCATATACCAGCAAATATTGGGACACCTACCAGGTGCTTCACAGAATAACCCGAATTTTTTTTTTTTTTTTTTTTTTTTTTTTGAGACGGAGTCTCCCTCTGTTCCTCAGACTGGAGTGCAGTGACATGATCTCGGCTCACTGCAACCTCTGCAGAATAGCCCGAATTTGTCTAGGTAGAGGGACATTGAGAAGGAGCCAAGACCCAGCTCTGCCTGACTCCTACAATTTTCCCCTGCAAAACATCCTTCTGACCTCTGAGGCATCACAAAAAACCAGCACCTTTTTCAAAGAGAAAATGCATGGGACAAACAGCCCTGGAGCATGAAAAAAGGCAGACTTACAGCTTATCTGCTTTTTCTTTCCTTCTTTTCCCTTATCAAGACTCCACACTCCAGAATCTTTTTCTGTGCATCCTCTTGAGGGTAGGGGATCTTATCCCAATTCATTTATTTAATGATTCAATCAGTAAATATTTGGGAGCCTATTAAGTGGCAGTACTGTTCTAAGCTCTATGGACAGAGCAGTGACTACTATGGCATATAGTGTTCACCGTCATGGAATTTAGTCTGCATTGAAAACTTGACTTCTATGGCTGACGTTGTTACAACCTCTTCCCAGCCCATAAAGTAAAGGTAAAGCAATGGAAAATACCCTGATATTTTATAATTATTTTGTTTTGTTTTTGAGACAGAGTCTCGCTCTGTTGCCCAGGCTGGAGTGCAGTAGCACAATCTCAGCTCACTGCAACCTCTGCCTCACGAGGTGTTCAAGCGGTTCTCCTACCTCAGCCTCTCGAGTAGCTGGGATGACAGGCATGCACCACCATGCCTGGCTAATTTTTTGTTTTTTTTTAGTAGAGACGGGGTTTCGCCATGTTGGCCAGACTGGTCTTGAACTCCTGGTCTTAAGGGATCTGCCCTTCTCTGCCTCCCAAAGTGCTGAGATTACAGGCATGAGCCACTGCACCCTGCTGGATAATTGTTTTCAATTATCTATTGCTACATAATAAATTGCCTTAAAACTTTCTGCTGTCTTCCTCTTGGGACCCAGGCACTGTGTAAAGAAGTTTGGGCTGGACCACTGAATGATGAGCAATCACAGCAAGAAAGGAGTCCCTAACCATTTTAGCTACTTTAACTGAGGTCCCAGACATGTGGGAAGCCATCTTGGACATTCCAGACCCAGCCAAACTCACAGCTGAATAAAGCACATGTCTGACCTGAACTGATACCATGGGGGCCACTTAAAACTTAGTAGCTCAAAACAACTACCACCATTTACTTCCTCACAATTCTGCAACTGGGGAAAGGCACGGCTGGACAGGTTGGCTCCCTTATGACATCAGCTAGGGTCAGACATGTGCTTTATTCAGCTGCGAATTTAGCTGGGCCTGGAGTGTCCAAGATAGCTTACCACATGTCTGGGACCTCAGCTAGAGTAGCTAAAAATGGTTAGGAGCCTCCTTTCTTGGTGTGGTTGCTCATTATTCAGTGGTCCAGCCCAGGGTTCTTTACATGGTGCTTGGATCCCAAGAGGAAGACAGCAGAAACTACAGGGTCTCTTAAATCCTGGGTTCAGAAGTTCCAGAATGTCACTTCCACCTTATTCTCTTGACCAAGCAAGTCACAAGGACAGCCCAGATTCAAAAGGAAGGGAAAGATACTCTACTCTTTGATGGAAGTAGTGGCTGGGATAAGAGAAATTGTTGCCAGTCAATTTGGGGACTAGTCTATCATGATCCATCCTCCAGCTACAACAGTATACGTATGCACATATATGCACGTGTGCGCGTGTACACACACACACACGACATACAGAATACACTCACTCCCTTTCTCCAAAACTATTATTCTGTATAGCATCAGTGTTAAAGTTCAAGATCTAGTAATATATACTAGCCCAGATGTGGATGAGGCATTTCAGATGCAGCTTCTCTTCATCTGGAGACCTGTTAACTAAAAGACAAGTTACATACACAACATACAATACTGAAAAGGTGATAGGATAACTGCAGTAGACACGCCTGTTTGAAAGTGGGGAAAATGGAGGGCAAATGGCAGTCGTTAGTCCACAGCAATTCTGAAATCCCGCCAAGCACCGTTACCAGTCCTCTGAGGATCAAGTTCCCCATTAGGACCTAGGTTGGCCTCCCTCAGAATAGTTTCCCAATGCATTGCTCTCAAGAGCTCTTAGTTCCACCCTCTGGGGTCTAGACTAGGACCTCTGAATCAATTTTCCTTTTTCATAAGAAACTGCCTTCCTTGAACAGAGGCTTCAGAAATAACACAACACATCTACAACCATCTGATCTTTGACAAACCTGACAAAAACAACAAGTGGGGAAAGGATTCCCTATTTAATAAATGGTGCTGGGAAAACTGGCTAGCCATATGTAGAAAGCTGAAACTGGATCTTTTCCTTATACCTTATACAAAAATTAATTCAAGATGGATTAAAGACTTAAATGTTAGACATAAAAACTCTAGAAGAAAACCTAGGCAATACCATTCAGGACATAGGCATGGGCAAGGACTTCATGTCTAAAACACCAAAAGCAATGGCAACAAAGAGGCCTAAGATTGACAAATGCGATTTAATTAAACTTAAAGAGCTTCTTGCACAGCACAAGGACACTACCATCAGATAGTGACGGCAACCTACAGAATGGAAGAAAATTTTTGCATTACCCATCTGAAAGGGCGAATATCCAGTAATCTCAAAAGAACTTAAACAAATTACTAAGGAAAATCAACAACCCATCAAAAAGTAGGCCAATATTTATGATGAAAACAGAACTTTTCAAAGACACGCATTTATGCAGCCAACCAGACTCATGAAAAAAAAAATGCTCATCAGTCATAGCCGTCAGAAGGAAGCAAATGAAAACCACATTGAGATACCATCTATTACAGTTAGGAATGGTGATCATTAAAAAGTCAGGCAGACAAACAGGTGCTGGAGAAGGATTTGTGGGAGAAACAGGGGACACTTTTACACCTGCTGTGGGCAGTTTATAGTTGAACTATGTGTGGAGAGATAGTGGGTGATTCCTCAGATCGTAGAATAGAAATTCCCATTTGACGCGCGCGCATCCATACTGGGTATCATTACCAAAGAAGTATAAATCCATATGCTTACTATAAAACAGCGAGACACAAGTATGTTTCTAGTTGAGGGGCATAAATGTTCACAATGGCAAAGACCTTGAACCAGCCAATGTCCACAATGGATAACTGGGATAAAGAAATGTGGGCAACATATTAACCACCATGGAATACTATGCAGCCATAGAAAAGGGATGGAGTTTAATGTCCTTATATAGGGGGGAGCATGTATGAAGCTAGAATTCCATCATTCTGGATGCAAACTGTCAACGAAGGACAGGAAAACAAACCAGACCGCAGTTCTCACTTTCCATACAGGGGAAGGCGTGAACAATGGAACAGTGGGAACACAAGGCTATGGGAACATCACCACACCAGGGCCTGTGGTGGGGGTTGGGGGAATGG